TTCATAGGCAGTCTGGGTGTACTGCACTTCTATCTGAAAGAAGAACAATTCTTCTACCGATGTAACATTGAAAAGAAAGAATTGCTTATGCAGGATGTTGCCTCTTGCCTGCACGAACATTTGCTCTTTTAATCAAACTGTTGAGGAAACTACGTATTCAACACATACTTGGTGGTAGGAAAAATTCATTTTTAGTGGCTGCAAGGGCATTGATTGCCCATTGTTGTGGTGATAGAGCAACAATCCTTGCTAGTGGCTCCTGAAACTCATTTCTTCCTGGAACCATTTCAGGTGCTAAACCTGCAAGTATTTGTAACGATAGCTAAACAGGCGGTCAGGTACCAAAACATCAACTCATATTTAACCCAAGAGCTGAGCCACAATTTACTATGCTAACAACATGGCCGACACACGAGGAAGCTGTTCCCAAGATGCCATGCGGCCACAGGAAGCTCAATGCTTCATGTAAGCATACTCGTTACATCTCCTTCCCTTAGTTTCAGTTCAACAAACACAAAATGTAATGTTCCAAAATGTTTCTATGCCTCAAGGTTCTTATGTACTAAACAAACTGTGCATACAGGTAAGAAAACCTAACAATAAAAGGAACGACAACAAAACAAAGAGGCGAAGTCAGAAAAAGTGTCTTGTTCCTCAGCACTTGTAATCTTGTAGCCACAGTGGTGGGTGACGTTCACGTGTTGGACGACTAGGTGGCTCTGGAACTACTGGTGTTGGCAGAACCAATGGTTGCGGCAACGCAACTGAGCTCGTCTCAGTCTGCTTGATTAGCTCAGTCGGCTTGCTTGCTTCAGAAGGCTCCAACGTTTCAGGAGTGGCCCTTAACCATCGGTGGTTTTGACGATACTGTTTCCCATTCACCTCTACCTGATAGGAACGGTTGCCTACATCTCCAATGACCTGTCCAAGGGACCATTCTTTCTCACCTGGCAGGCACATTCTTATGGCATCACCGTTGTCTAATTTCGGCAATTCGTGTGTGTGTTGGTCATAATAATGCTTCTGCTTCTGCTTCCTCATCTCAATCATCTTTGGTACATTAGTAATCACATGAGGCTCTAACAATGTCTAAGCTACTGGGAGACGAGTCCGTGTTCGCCTGCCGTAGAGTAGCTGAGAAGGTGAAGCATGCATTCCCTCAGTAGGTGTGTTGCGCCATTCAATTAACGCCAACAAAGGATCTCACTTATCTGCACGGGCTTTCATCAACAACGACTTGCAGGACTTCACGGCATTTTCAACACGACCATTACTCTTGGGATGGCGAGGGCTTGAAGTAATGTGATGAAAGTCCAATTCTTTACTGAACGAATCAAAATCTCCACTGTTGAAAGGCGGTCCGTTGTCACTAATAACTGTCACAGGGATACTATGTCTGGCAAACCAAGTCTTTAAGACTGTAATGACACGATTGCTTGTGGTGTTACTCAAATCTTGTACCTCAAAATAACCAGAGTAGTAATCAACGGCTATCAGGAAGGCCTGCCTCTAAAGTATAAACAAATCAACCCCAACTTTCTCCCATGGTAGATTGGGCACAATATGGGGCTGTAGTGGCTCTCTACATTGTTCAGGTTGATACCTGTTACAAATACCGCATTTTGATAGGTAATCCTTGAGCTGTGCCGTGATTCCTGGCCAGTAAACAATATCACGAGCTCGACGCAGTGTCTCTTCGACCCCAATATGCGACTCATGCAGGCTCTTCACAATGTCAGAATGCTCACCAGCAGGTATGACTAAACAATGACCCTTGTATACCAAACCATCCTCTATAGTCAGCTCATCCCGGCTGTTCCAATACAGCTCAATCACTTGTTTCTGGTGCTTGTCATTTTCACGTGCCTGTGCCAAGGTTTCTGGCCAACCTTTACGAATAACATTGGATAGGATCTGCAACTCTTCATCCTTAGCAGTCTCCTCGCGCAGCCTCTCCAAACGAGTAGGAGACACCGTCAGTTCTTCATCACGTTTGATTTGCTCTAACTCAAAGGCAAATAGTCGTTCCTTAATGGAATGGACATCACTGTTTGGGACAGTCAACTGTTCGCCCTCGAGATATGCTCCACTTAGGGTGTCAGCCAAGAACATGGTGGTGCCTTTCTTGTATTCCACTTGGATGTCATAATTCTGCAAACGGAGTTGCATTTGTTGGAGGCGCTTTGGGGAGCTGTGGTTGGGTTTCTTGAATATGGTTTCCAGCAGTTTGTGGTCTGACTGGACAACTACATCACTTCTTCCAAAGATGTACTGATCAAACTTCTCATATGCAAAGACTATTGCAAGAAGCTCCTTCTCGATTTGAGCATAATTTTGTTCAGTAGGGGTCATCACACGGGAGCTGTAAGCCACTGGACACCCTTCTTGCAACAAGGCAGCTCCAAGTCCAGTCTGGGAAGCATCACACTGGATGACTACTGGTTTGCTCACATCATAGTAGGCAAGTACAGGGGCGGTTACAATCATTTCTTTAACATGGGCCAAAGCATCAGCATGGGTAGGTAACCAACACCATTCAGCATCCCTTTCAGTGAGTTTTCTCAGGACTTCTGTTTCATCTGACAAGCATGGCAGAAACTTTGCCAAATAATTCACCATGCCAAGAAATCGACACAGAGAGTGAACATCAGTAGGGTCAGGCATTTGTACTATTGCCTCCACCTTGCATGGGTCAGGTTTGAGACCTTCTGGTGTCAAAACATAACCAATAAAGGGAACTTCTTGCTGTCTCAGCCAGGCTTTCTTCTTGTTCAGCTTCAGGTTTCTTTCACGACAGCGATTTAAGAAAGCATGTACATTTTGGTCATGGTCTGACTGCCACTCGGCAGGTATGTTGCCGTATCCAACAATCACAAAATCATCTGCAATGACCTCTACTCCCTTAAGCTCCTCTATGTGCTCTCGCATTCTTCGTTGCCAAACTTCTGGTGCACTGTTAATGCCAAACGGTATTCGCTTCCAGCAGTAACGCCCAAAAGGGGTGTTAAATGTGGTGAGCATACTGGATTCTTCATCAAGTTCCACCTGCCAGAAGCCATTGCTAGCATCAAACACGCTGAACAACTTTGCTCCGTTTAGCCTAGTTGCAATTTCTTCAATTGTTGGCATTGGGAAATGTTCTCATTTTATGGCGAGATTCAGATCCCTAGGATCAAGACAAATGCATATCTTTGTCTCCTCACTTGCTTTAGAAGGTGGCTTACTCACCACCAGAATGCTGGAAACCCAATCTGTGGGCTGATTGACCTTTGCTATGACATCATCCGCTGTCATTTCCTCCAACTTTCTCTGCACGTGCTCGGTCATGGCAACAGGTAACCGCCTTGGTGGGTGGACTACAGGCTTCACGGACTTGTCAGTTACAATACTATACTTCCCATCTAGCTTTCCAAGACCCTCAAATACGTCAGCATACTCTTCTAGTAAGGGGTCTTTACCTGTCTTCAGCACATTTATGCGTGGATCTCAGTCACAATCAAGGATCGTTATCAGGTTCATTTCTAACATACTTTTCTTGGACAATATTGGCTCATGGCCACGACCATTGACTACACTAACTTGTATCTTGTGTGTGTGTCCATTGTGGGTTGCATACAGGGTTGCTTTGCCCTCGATGGGTTGTTCATACCCATTAGCCAAGATCAGAACTGACTTCACTCAAGTATCAAGAGAGTTTAAGTCCAGGTCACCAGTCACACCCTTGTGGACATCCAAAGGCAGTAGGTTACACTCAGCTCCTGTGTCCATCAGGAATGCAACTTCATGACAATCATCATAATTATGTTGATGTTACACCCTTGGCTTGGTACTTTGATTTCAAACTTGGTACCTTTCTCATACAGAGTAGATACGATCTACTGTGGGGAATAGGTTAAGAAGGCCCACAACGTCCTCAGTCTTCACTTTCAGGTTTTTTTTAATCACAGTTTTTTCTTTTCTCCTACAAAAATAATCCACCTCTCACTGGCATCAATCAAGCGAACCCTAATCTATGGCACACCTTGAATAAACATGAGCTGATTGGCTAAAACGATATTGCTGACAGAAAAATAACAAACGTACTCTATTTCAAAATAACACGTGGAATAACGTGATCTTTGCCATTCAGATAAAAATAAACGCCGTCAAAGATTGGCAGTTCGTGACAAAATAAAGATTAAAAGCCCTATGCTATTATCGAGTTTCCGACACACTCCCCCATGTGCTTACGACAAGGAAGTACATGTAAACAAAGGAAACTGCTTCAACCTAAGTACGCTAAACAATTTGAAAACGAAGAAAAGTCTTAAAGAACAAATCACATAGTTCAATGATTCCATTGTCCACAGTGTTCACGTTCAATCACAGTTCAGCGTTCTTTGAATGTCACTAGGCTTAATCACTTGAAATCATAACAAAAAGTAGCATCCGCAATACAGTCTTGCTGCGACTGCCGCATCCCTCCTTGGCCGATAGGGTCGGGCCTCAGGAGTCAACCTTGCATCTTCTTTGTCACCTGATACTTTATGGGCCCAGCAAAGTCAACACCAATGGTTTCATAGGGTGTCACTCCTTGGGTCCTGATCGTTGGTAGGTTGCCTAGTGGTGGGGACTGGTAGGCTTGAGCTCGAAATCTCTTGCAACCCCAACAGCTTTTAATGACCTTCTTGGTAAGTTTTCTCAGGCGAGGGATCCAGTGAGTCTCCCGAACTTTGGTCATTGTGAGTGTAACTCCCCCATGAAGGGTCGCTAGATGCGCTCGTCGAACAAGCTTGTGTGTGAATGCGTTACCATCAGGAAGGTAGATAGGATATGCACCAACGATTCGTCCTCTACACTCCAGTATTCCGTTGTTGTCTGGTTGCAAGTTAAGCTGTAACTTGTCTGCCTCAAAATTCTTCAAACTTCTGCCTTCCTCTTGAGCTCGTCTGGTTTCCTGGTACTTCATTTCATCGGTGGTCAGGGGTCCTTTCACTCCTCTTGGCTTCAGGTTTCTGGAATTAGTTAGGAACCTGGACACCCATGCGCACACGCGCAAGGCCTTTAACAGACTGTGTTGCTGCATCAGCACACTGAACTTGTCTTCTGATGATAGGGCTGTGGCTAAGACTTCCTTTATCACTGGATTCTGCGGTGGGTACGGTAACAAGGTCTGGGGGCCATGCTCTAGGATCACTGAGCCATGCTGGTCCCCTCCACCACAGTTGTTTCTCTTCTGTGACCGGTTCACTGCGGCTAGCAACGTCGGCAGGATTACCCTTAGTTCCTATGTATCTCCACGTAATGTCACCATGCTCTCTAATCTTTCGGACACGATTTGCCACGAATTGCTTGAAGTCTCCATTCCCACGTATCCAGTGTAGTGCGACGCTGCTATCGAGCCAACTGTTGATTCCGATAATTCCGATGTTCGATAACTCGCGATTTCCTGTAAATATTTCGGGATCGATGTTCGATTTCACACGTACGCAAACTTGATTTTTCAATGTCCTTTTTATTATGTTACAAAATCATCTTATATTACATTTGATATTATTAACTCAACCGGAAGTCACGCAATGTTACGAAATAGTAACGCACTATCATTTTCGTCTCTATAACATTTCCCCCTCCAGAATTACAATCATTGCCTTAATGTTGAAATTCTTACTATAACGAAACGAAAAATATAACAATTGAACACGAAATACTGAGTCAAAATTCAAACCGAAATATAAACTAGATTGTCATTGTCTCTATCAGTGTCACTCTTGCATTTCTAGCGGTGAAAGTTTGGTAATAGGTCTCTTCAAAATCTTATCTCCAACTTTAACATCTACTACTCGCACGAGACCGTCCGCTCCAGGGTAGGTGCGAAGAATTCTGCCTACTTTCCAGTCTCGTCGTCTTGCATCGGGGTCGATCACAATCACTACGTCGTCTTCTTTCAGGTTCTTTTCCTTAGAGAACCACTTGTGTCGGGAACCAATGTATGGCAGATATTCTTTCAACCAACGTTGCCATACGCGACGAATGAGCTCTTGAATTCGCCTCCATCGTTGATGAGGGTTGAACTCGGTCGTGTCAACACTATCTGGAACTATGTCTCCGCCCATCTGACCAATGATAAAGTGGTTTGGCGTCAGTACTGGTTCGTCGTTTGGGTCATCACTGATGGTCGTTAGTGGTCTCGAGTTGAGCAAACTCTCGACTCCTGTAAAACAGGTTTGCAGCTCTTCATCTGTGATGTCTGCGTCTTGTAAAATGGCTGAAATAGCTCGCTTTGCCGCTTTAATCAAGGCTTCGAATACACCACCGAAGTGCGGTGCTGCTGGTGGGTTCCAGTACCACTCCACGCCTTTGTTTGCTGTTGTGCGTTGGATTTGTTCTTGATCTAATTCTGCGACTAATTCTCGAATTTCTCTGTCTGCAGCGACGAAGTTTGATCCGTTGTCGCTAACCATTATCTTGGGCCATCCTCTTCTAGCAGTCATCCTGGTGAACGCGTTCATGAAACTACCTGTGTCTAGGGATGTGGCCATTTCCAGGTGGCAGCAGCGGGTTTGTAAACAAACGAAAAGGCACAGGTATCGTTTGGTTCGAGCTCTTCCACGTCCTTGCATGGTCAAGTAAGGGCCACCATAATCTGTTGCACAATTGGTAAACCGTCTGTTAGTCATCTGTAAGCGAAACTGCGGCAACGGGGCCATTTGTTGCTTGGCAGGGTGGAGTCGAAAACGCCTCTTACATTCAAAGCAGTTATGAATGCATGCCTTTACTTCTTGTCGACTGTGAATCACATGGTTTCTTGATCGCAGGTGATTGAGTGTATAGTTGACACCCATCTCGTGACTTTCCATCTCGTGATGATACTTCACAATCAGCTGTGTCACGTGATGTTTCTTTGGCAGAATAATCGGGAACTTGGTGTCAGCCGCCAGGTCATCTGATCGCCGAAGTCTTGTATTTGATCGTAATAGGCCTCCAGCCAACATCGGTGTAAGGGGGAGCAGATGACTTCTTTTGCTCAATTCCTTTCTTGCCGTTAGTGCAATAATTTCTTCGTTGAAAACCTCTTTCTGTGCTTCCTTGATGATGTCAAGTTCGGTGTCCGAGAGTTCCTTTGTCATCAATTCTCCCTTGATGCGTTGCTCTTCAGGGAGTCTACAGTTCTTGATAAATCGCATGACCCAACTCCTCACCCGAACCAGTGAGTATCCGATTTCTAACTGTCCCTGAGAAGAAGCTCGGTACCATTTGGAGAATCTTGCTGGGTTTAAACGCCAATTTTCCTTTTTCGAGAATAACGAAGGTTGAATGTTCCTGTTCTGAATTTGGATTGTCGTTCTCTTCCTCTTGTCTGGAAAGCTGGTTCTTTAGATCTGGTCTTCGTTCAGCTCTCACTTCTGTCAAGGCTTCCTCTTTTGGATTCGCTGCTTTTGGTTTAGGCCAGTCACTTTCTGGAAACGCCAAGAAGGTCGGACCTTTCCACCACATCTCGCTGTCTGCTAATTCTGAAACTGTTAGTCCCCTGGTTCCGAAGTCCGCTGGATTCTGTTTTGTGGGAACATAACGCCATTGGTTGGGGTCCGACTGTTCGTGGATTTCCCCTACGCGATGGGAAACGAATGGTTTGTAGTTACGACTCTGTCCGTGTATCCAATAGACAACGTTCATGCTATCAACCCAGAACGTTGCTGGTGACAAAGGGATCTCCAGAGCAGCACTAATCTGTTTCGTCAACCGTAGTCCAATTACTGCCCCCATGAGCTCGAGTCGTGGGATGCTCATTGCCTTTAATGGAGAAAGCCGGGTCTTCGAACCAACTAAACGTGTCGTGATAGATTTGTCTTCGTACTCGTGTCGAATGTAAACAGCTGCGGCATATGCTGCTTCGGAAGCATCCGAGAACGTGTGAAGAGAAGCTTTGACTGCTGTAGAATGACGATCCTTTAAACATCTTGGAATGCGGATTCCTTGTAGACCGATGGATTCTTCGAACCAGGACTTCCATTGCTTGTGATGATGGCCTGGGAGGGGGACATCCCAACCGGTCGCTTCTACCCAGGCCTGCTGAATGAGGATCTTGGCTCTAACAACGTACGGCGCTAGGAAACCAAGCGGGTCAAAGATGGTTGCTGTCTTCTTTAGTCCTTTTCGCTTGGTGAGCTCTGTTTCTGGGGTCAGCGAATATTTAAAGGAGAATGTGTCTAGGTCTGCGGTCCACAGCACCCCCAAGGTCTTGGTTGTCGATAGCTTGTTTTCTTCTAAGTCGATGGTTTGTGCTCGGTCTTCGGCTGGTATGTCCTTTAAAACTTCTGCTTGATTGGACATCCATTTTCTCGGGTGAAACCCAGCCAAGTTTCCCAGTTCCGTCAGTTGTTTTCTTGTTTCTTTTGCGATTTCGATTGTTGCCACCGAAGGCATCAGGTCGTCCATGTAGCAGTGGTTCCTAATAGCGTCTGCGGCCAAAGGGTACTGTGTCTTGTGGATTTCAGCGTGGCGTTGCCATGTGAATTGAGCACAAAACGGGCAGTAGCAGCCTCCGAAAACGAATCTGGAGAACTCGTAAACCTGCGGTGGGCACTGTATGTCAAGATTTCGCCACAGGAACCGATGGAAAGGCCTGTCTTCGGGTTTAAGAACCAGCTGATGGTACATCTGACTGACATCACTAACCAACACTTCCAGCTCTTTTCTAAATCGTACCAGGATGTCGAATATGTTGCTCTGTAACTTTGGACCTGGCAACGCTTCTGTATTCGGGCTCTTCTCATTCAGCTGTGCCGACGCATCGAACACAATGCGAACCTTGGTTGTTTCTCGATCTGGGCGTACCACTGGAAAATGCGGTAAAAACCACTCGCTTTCTGGTCTTGGTTCCGATGTGGGTACAACTCTGATGTATTCTTTCTCCAGGTAGTCATCGATTACACCCTGGTAGGCGTTGGCCAGTTGCGTGTCCTTCTGAAGTTTCTTTTCAAAAAGCTGTAATCTTCTCTCGGCCATCTGTCGATTGTTTGGCAGGTTAGGTCGATCTTGTTTCCACGGTACTGAAACTTCGTACCGATCACCGTTGTATGACAGCGACTGTTCAACCTTTTTCTGGGCTATCTTCTCCAGGGGTGTCAACTCGTTTTCTTCTTGACTCTGTGGGACGATGCCGAGTGTTTCGAGGTCCCAGAAACGCTTGAGTGTGACGTTCAAATCTTCATGCAATGCAGTAACGATGTCTGGGGTTAATTGCTGTGCACACGTACGGAACGTATGTAAGTAGCCAGTGTTGACACATGCTGTTCCTCTCGGTTGTGTCGATTTTCCGATTCTTCCGATAGCAGTCCAGCCCAAAGGACAAAGTCTAGTGGCTGGTTCGTCTTCCTGACCTCGAATTTCCTGCATGGGAAACATCAGGTGATAGTAATCCGATCCGAGCAAAACATCGATAACTCCTTTCTCTGCGAGGTGTGGGAAAGGAATGTCCTTTAAATGATTCCACTGTTGCTTCATTGTTACCCAGTCGGTAGGTTTCATTCCTCCACAAATCTTGTCACTGGTTTTCACCACGATCGTTGTATCGACTTTTCCATCAACGCTTTCTAGGCCAATTTCAAGAGTAGCAGCCATAAGTCGTACCTTCTGATCGTTTGCTACATTGATGGTGATTTCTTCTTTCTCTGTACTAATTCCTAACGTCTCGATCACATCTTCATTTACGTAGGTGGTGTCGCTGCCCTCGTCAAGAAAACAGTTCACTAATAATCGCCTCTTTCCGTGTTTGAGAATCGCAGGGACTGTACGAAGTGCAATAATCCTCTCTTCGTGTCTTTCGATGGTGTTTAGAGTCGTTGTTTGTGTATCCCCCTCCGTGCTGGGTACCTTTGTTTCTTGTCGGGGTAGTGATTTGTGCAACAGAGGGTGATGTGTTTTCTTGCATCCAGCGACATCGCAGGCTTTACTTTTTGGACACTGGTGTCCTAAATGATCGTAATCCAGACAACGAAAGCACACTCCAAATCGTTTCGCTGCCTCCCATTTCTTTTCAAAAGACCATCCAGTAAACACTTTGCATTTCTTGAGATGGTGCATTTCTCCACAAGCTCTGCACAATTTTCCTTTTCTCTCGATTTCGTTACTGATCTTCTTGCCATCTTGTAGACTCGCGCCGTATGATTTGTTGTTTCTCCCGTCTCGCCGCGACCACTTGCTGTCTTCATATTTCCGAGTAAAGCCATGTTTCACCTCCGACGCTTGAGTTTGCAAATCCGCTTCCACGGCCACCCATTCGTTTAGAGTTACCATTGACCCAATGATAATACTCTTTAAGCAAATTCTCGGGCAGTTTTTCGACCACGATTCCATATAGGGTTCCGCCCCCTAAGTCCGCGTGAAGACTGTTATCTTTCAAAACAACGATGGTTCTTTCAAGGGCATCAGCAAATTTATCCATCGACTTTGGATCACCTTCGTTAACTGGCCTCATCTTTCTTAATTCTTCGATTTGCACTTGAACTTTACGCCGATCCCCGCCGTATTTTCGCTGCAATCTTGACAATGCGGCGTCGTAAGCAGTTTGCTAATAACCCAGGCCTTTAATCGTCTCGGCGGCTTCTCCACGTAAACAACCTTCTAACCTCAGCATCTTGAACTGTGGTGCAAGTGACGTTTTGTCGACGCAAGTGGAAAAGGCGGCGAACCACTGTTGAAATTCCATTTTGTTTCCCGAAAATATTGGTATCCTGATGCGTTCCAATTGTTTGTTTGGATCGCTCACCCCTTGCTGTGCGTTAGGGTGTCCTTCGATTTCCGAGGATTCCTTCTGTTTAGACGAGAATATTTTTGCTTGAGCCGCTAAATAGGAACGTGCAGTGTTGGTATCGTTATCCACTTGGTCGACCAAAGCATCTGCTTCATCGCTCGTCTTCTCTGCGTCTGCAGTTTTCTTTAGCTTTTCATACTCTATCTCCAGATCCCGCATGATCGCCAGCGCTTCTTCTTTCTTCGCTTCGATGTGCTCTAAACTTGCGGAGATTTGAGCGCAATCCGGTTCTTTAACGGCCAAGCGTACCGCCAAGTCATTTAGTGTCTTTGTTATCGCCGATTTCAGTGTTCTTTTCGATTCCTTCAACGATTTAATGGCTTCCATCGTGGGCTTTGATGGCTGTGCATCCCACCCCCAAATTCAAGAATGTCCGATTTTGTTCGATTAATATCCACTCCGACTCCGATAAACTAACTTAAATCCGGCTCGAAGGACCAAAATGTTGATTCCGATAATTCCGATGTTCGATAACTCGCGATTTCCTGTAAATATTTCGGGATCGATGTTCGATTTCACACATACGCAAACTTGATTTTTCAATGTCCTTTTTATTATGTTACAAAATCATCTTATATTACATTTGATATTATTAACTCAACCGGAAGTCACGCAATGTTACGAAATAGTAACGCACTATCCTTTTCGTCTCTATAACACCAACAGTGTAGGGAGGATACAGGAAACCCTTGTAGCGCATCTTGTACATTGCTTAGAAGATTCACAGCCATGTGACCCAAGACTAGTTCACGGCGAGGTATCATCAACCCTTGCTTTGCCAGTCTTGCCTTTGCTGTGACAAGGCCCTTGTTTACTGAAGTTGGCTGTTTGACGACGGCGTACACGGCAGCCGCGACGCCCTTTCCGCTAGCTTCTCCAAAGGCATGAAGCTCGATGTTCTCGATAGGCTGTTGAGCACTCGTCAGTGCTCTTGGGCAGTTACTTTGCCGAGGTAAACAACTCCCACTTCCACTGCTGAACTAGCTCTGCAGATAGCGGCATGTCCCATGCGCATTTCTCTTCACAAGCCTCACGATATAGCAGCTTTCCTTGAAGAGTGGTAGGTGCGGCTAATCCTAAGGGATCATAGATCTTAGCCACCTTTCCCAGGATCCCTCTTTTCGTCGGTTGAGCAACGTTCGCCGGAAAAGGGACCCCAATTTCGTCAGAGAACTTGTTCCACTTCAATCCCAGGAGTCCACACTGTCTAGATTGAACGCCCAGCTGTTGCTTTGCGTAGCTAAGTTGTCTTCATGCTCATTCACTGTAACTGGCTGCAGTTCTTTTGCATTGTCTTCGGGTACATCATCCAGTTCCAGCTCTTTCACGTTCGAGTGCCACTTGTGCAAATGGAAAGTAGCTTGGGCAAATATCTCAGTTGTTGTGGCTTTCTTCTGTTTCACTTCTTCAGTAGTAGGTCCATCAGATAATATGTCATCCACATATAGCTCACGCTCAATCTCTTCCACACACTTGAGATGTTCATCTCAGCAAGTGTTCAGATGCTGTTGCATCACACCTCCTAGCAGGAAAGGCGAGGGTCCCCAGCCAAAGAGTGCTCTAGTGAATCTGTAAGTCCGAATTCGCTGTGGATCTTTAGGTTCTAACCAATGGAACCAAAGAGCATCTCGGTCTTGTACATGAATTCTCACTTGGAGAAAGGCTTTGTGAATATCACCAGCAAGAGCCACAGGATGGAATCTTCCCCACACTAGAACCTTCCAAAGTTTATTTTGGAGCAGTGGTCCAACCTCCAAGCAGTCATTTAGTGAGGGTGCAGAGCTATGGGCTTTGGCTGAGGCATCATAGACTACCCGCATCTTGGTCGACTCTACATTCTCCCTCACCACGGCTCTGTGGGGTATGTAAAATTCTTTCCCACTGGCTGGCATGTCTGCCTCTTCCACAATTCCTTCGCGCAGTTGGTCCTGGAATATCGCATCGTATTTGTCCAGACGACCTGTTTTCTTTAGACGTTGTACTAGACTTCCCAGGCGTTTCAAGCTCCCAGATTCATTCGAAGGTAGGGGAGGGTGGTCTCCTTTCCAAGGAAGCTGTGCTTCATACCACCCATCAGGACTGCATCTAAGCTGTTTACGAAACTCTGCGTAGACAACGCTTTGATCACCACTAGGTGCGTCTTCAAGTCCAAGGACGTCCATTCTATACAGCTCTTCACAATCGTTTGAGGCCGTTTGCGCTAGGAACATGTTGTCTAGGTCTGTCTCTGTCCCTGGTGACATGATGGTCCACCCAAAGCAAGTATATTCTGCCACTGGTTCACCCATAGCTCCAGTTCGCTGGGATTCATGGGTCTTTATTCGTGCATAGTCACTAGCTCCAAGAATAACATGGACAGGAAGCATCTTCTTCAAGTCTGTGTCCTCCATGTAAACTCCCTTCAGATGTGGGTACTTGCTTATCATTACCGCATAATTTGGGTTTTCAACAGACAGCAATTCGGCATGGTCAATTCTCGTCACGCTCAGTGGAATGGCATACTTTTCTTCCATGTTGCTCGCTTGGACATTGAAGATCTCACTTCGTTTTGTAACCACTCCCACGATGGTTTGAATACGGCGTGTGTGCATGCGTGTTGGTCTCAGCTTCAGCCTATTTAAGAGGTATCCAGAGGCGTAAGAAATGGTTGCGCCGGTATCCAGTAGTGCTCTACAGGTTACGCCATTTACTTTGACAAGAACTATAGGATGGCAATTCTTCTCCCTGTCTTGTGTTGCTGTCAATGCAACTCCAGCATTATTTCTAGGCTGACTTGCTCTTACTTGTCTGTCACAGATAGACGAGTGGTGCTTTTGCTTGCAGTGTACACAGGAAGCTCTACTAGAGCAGTTGTTTGCGCTGTGTTTGGGCCCAGTGCAGTTAAAACACAACCATTTATTCTGCAAAATTTGATGGCGTTCGGCAGGCGACGTGATTTTATCGCACTCCCAAGATCTGTGCGTCACGCAATCACAATAAACACACGCGTGTCGCGCGCGGGCTGGTTCGTGTTCTTGCGCGTAGAAACTTCTGTGGCGAGGCGAACGAGGCGGCGGCGGGGCCTGAGGTTTTCTGCTAGCTTTCTCAGCTAATTCCAGTGGATGAATTGCCTTCCATTCTTCTAGAGCTTGTATTAGTTCCGTGAATCCCCAGTCTTGCCATCCTACTTTTCCACTCACAAGTTCGGCTTTGATTCCTGGCAGCTTATCAAGCACACCACGCACCATAGAAAAACAAGACGAAAGTTTACCCAGCGTCTCAAGAGATTGAACATGGTAGTTCAAAGTCTGGCAAAATTTATGGATTTTGCTAGGCTGTGATCCTGTTATCACTGGCAAGGCATTCAAGTTGTCGATGTATGCCTTTACAATCTCGCTTATCTTGCTGTAATTTGAAGTCAGAATATTCTTAGCGCGCTGGTAGCTTTCAGAAGTAAAGGGAAGGCCGTCGATTGATTCGCAAACATTACTTTCCAGCAATTCTTTCAGATGAGCGAATTTTGTGACCGCTGGCAGATCAGATGAATCAATTTCAGCTTCAAACTTGTTCCAAAACGAGAGCCACTTCTCATAGGTGCCGTCGTATTTTGTGATGATTAGTTTTGGCATTTTCAGGTTGCTCTTGCTGGCTGGCTTTGTGGCGGCTTGCTCTGTTTGTTGAATTTTTGCCTTTTGCTCAAGTTTTAGTTTTTCAAACTGTAGTTCTTCCTCTTGTTGCTGATTGAGCAAAGTTTTCTCCTTCTCACGCTTGTAGTCCTCTGCTCTCGTCGCAGCTTCTTCAAGGCTGCGAGTTAAATCAGATATCTCCAAATCTGCTTCGTCGGTGTGTTGTTCTATTGTTGCTCCCCATTTCTGCACAAAATTTCCTTGTGACGAAGGATTTTGTCGAGGTTGCCCTTGTCCACGATTGCAGCAGTCTTGGAGTGAGTAAGTGCTAGTAGTTGCAATTCTGTCTTGAGTTTAGTTGAATTTAATTCATTTGGGCACTCCCTATTGGAGATTGAAAGGTGCCCCCTGTCATTCATAGTTTTTATGGTCAAAAATGTGCTATTTCAAAAAGAAATTGTGTTTTTGTTTTCAGCATGATAGTTATAGGCATGGTTTTCACAGGTCAGGAAATTCAGGGAACAATGAACTACTTCAAGGCCTGAGTAAAGTCAGGGAATGTCTTTTTGAGTTGGGGAAGAATTACATCTTTGAGAGAAGTCAGGAAAAAGTAATATTTCAAGTAAATGTGAAGTTGTTCATCTTTGTGGTCATCTTCACAACAAAGGATGGTGACACATTCCTTTTTGTTGTTTATTACTTACATTGTCCAGAATGGTTGACAGAGTCCCAACCAGCTTTTCCTTTTCCTACGTGATACAAGTTGAAGTTGGTTTCTGAATAAAAACATGCATTTTCTTTTTCTTCCCTATCCATCATTTTTTTTATACCTTTAAAATTCTTTGGTACACTCAGTGGACTCAAAGTATTGGAATGGTAAAATAAACTGATGTTGCGTTTCCATGGAAATTAATCCTTTTACCTTGGGACCTTGAATTATTAATTCATGTTCACCATATGTGACTTTGAAAGCATCAATTTGTGGGTGGAAGAACAACAGAGTAATAAGTAAGAATATGTTTTTCCTAAGTTTTTTGTCTTGTATAGAGTGATGTAATATTTTACTGGTAACTAAAAGGTGTCTCATCCTGTGCCAGCTTTTGTTCTTGTGTTGTCCCTGTGGTGTTCGGATGGCACGAGAAACGGAGATATATTCTTTGATTTCAACACAGAACTTTTAATAACTTCTAACATGTGTCGTCGCCATTACCGGAAGTGATCATACATCGAATCATGAACGGAAGCGAGGCTGAATTAATGTAAACGTAAATCGAATACAGCACATCTCCCCCTTTAAGATAATAAAAGAGAAACTACTTAGACATACTTGTTTCTTATCTAGCGTGAAATTCAAAATCAAAACAACGTCAATCAAATGTCCTCAAGTAATCGTCATTTTGTTAAGAAACACATCCTGGGTAGCTATTGTCGTTTGTCTCTGCACTAAGTCTCACACACACTAGAATACGCGTTCATAGTTATGACTTTCTGTCTGAGAAACCAGAGAAAATCTGGCCAGAAAGTATAACTTCACTTATGGCACATAATCCTTCAATCTAGATGAGGGCTTAGATTGACGGCCAGATCTGGTGTACACTTTTGATGTGCCAGTTCCTTCTGCAGTGTTAGCAGTTTGGGGTGAAGGAAGTTTAGGTGATGGAGGTACTGGCACCGGTGTGGGTTTGGCTGGAGATGTAGCTGCAGCTGGGGGTGGGGGTGGTATCTTGTTGATCTGTACTCTATTCCTTCTATATGACCCAGTGTCCGTATGGATCACATAAGAACGAGGTGTGCACTTCTCCACTACTATTCCAGACTGTCCTCTGTCTTGTACCATCACTTCATCTCCCTTCTCTAAGGGAACAAGAGGCCTCGCTGAATGCCTTCTGTCAAAGTGCAGCTTCTGTTTGGTTTTGTGATTGTCTTCAAACTGACGTAGGGCATGATTCTGCACAAGGTTTGGGGACAGCTGAGACGGGGCCACCGGCACTTTGGTTTTTAGCCTCCTTGACATCATTAGCTCAGCTGGAGAATAACCATTAGCCAATGGTGTCGCTCTATACTGTAGCAAAGCAAGATAAGGATCTTGAGAGCCAGCTAGGAGACGTTTAGCTGTTTGCACTGCTCTCTCTGCTTCACCGTTGCCTGAAGCATGACCTGGGCTGCTAGTGACATGTCGAAACCTGTAATCTAAAGTGAACATCTTAAATTCCCTTGATGTATAGTAGCTGGCATTGTCAGATTTTACTTGATCTGGAATTCCGAATCTGGAAAATGCACGTTTCATCCTGTCTATGACCTCTGCTGAGGCGGTTGAACTCAGACTAGCTACCTCTATCCATCTGGAGTAGTAATCAATCATTACTAAATACAGTCTTTTATTGAGTTCATAGACATCAGTGGCTATGTATTGCCATGGTCGTTGTGGGAGCATGGTAGGAACTAGAGGTTCTGGAGGATTTTTCCTGTTAGACTGACACTTGCGACAGTTTTCAATTAACTCCTCTATATTCTTCATCATGCTTGGCCACCACACTCTGTTTCTGGCCAATGCCTTGCACTTGACAATCCCTTGGTGACCGTCGTGGATCTTATCCAGGACTTCCAATTTCATAGACGATGGTATAACGACTCGAGGTCCCATCATCAACAGCCCTTTAACCAGAATGTAATCTGTGAATCGTTCACATGCGAAGGTACTAGCTAAGGCCTCCTTTTCAATCTGGGCGTACCTTTTCTCTACATCCAGAAGGCTTTTGGACGCATACGCCACTGGCGCCCACCTGTCACCGTGCTTTTGCAAAAGCACTCCACCAAGTCCGTATGAAGACGCATCTACTGACACCTTGGTCTCTAGTGAAGGATCATATATTTGCAACACTGGGCTGCTCGTCAAGCATTGTTTAATCTCTTTAAAAGCCTGTTCCTGTGCTGGACCCCAGCACCATGCACTGTGAGAGCTCAAGAGTTCACGTAGAGGTTGTGTCATAGTAGCAAGGTTGGGTACAAACTTCATGAGCTGGTTCACTGTACCCATCAGACCTCTTACCTCACTCACATTCTCTGGAGCACGCATTTTCAATATAGCCTCAACCTTCTCTGGAGAGCTTTCCACACCATTAACTCCGATCCGATGACCTAGAAAGTCAATCTGGCTTTTGCTGAATTGGCACTTATCCTTATTCAAGGTGACACCTGCTGCTTTCAGCCGTGTTAATGTCTGTACGAGTCTCTCGTCATGTTCCTCCTGGTTCTTTCCGAACACGACAATGTCATCCATGAGACATACCACACCTTGTTGACCACCTAGTATTCGGTAGATCTCACTCTGAAACTTCTCAGGGCCAGATTTGATACCAAAGGGAATTCGCTTATATCGAAATCGACCAAATGGTGAGATGAACGTGGTCAGTTTCCTTGAATCTTCATCCAAGCAGATTTGGTGGAAGCCCGCATTGGCATCCAGTTTAGAGAAAACCTTAGCACCTCCCATCAGAGCAATTGTATAATCCACTGTGGGGAGCATGATTCTTTCTCTCTTCACTACTTCGTTAAGCTTCGTGAGATCCACACAGATCCTCACTTTGCCATTTCCTTTAGGCACCACGACCATAGGAGAACACCATTCCGATGGTTCTGTGCACCGTTCTATAACATCTAGCTCGATAAGCTTGTCAAGTTCAGCTTTGGCTAGAGGAAGTAGTGGAATAGATATCCTCCTGGGAGTCATCACACTGTATGGCTCTGCGTTTTGCTCGATCTTAATCTTATATTCTCCTTCTAGCTTTCCTAAGCCTTTGAACATTGATCCGAACTCCGCTGACTGGATAGGATCTGACGTAACTTTTCCAATGAACTTAACGACACCTAGATCTGCACAAGCGTCTCTACCTAGCAATAGAGAGCCTTTGGGGAACACATATATATCCTCTGTGATTGTCTGATCACCTTTCTTTAGTTCTGCAGTAAAGAATCCAAGAGTTGAAAGGTTGCTTTGATCTGGGCCACTAAGAGGCCTGTCAGGCTTCTGCAAAATGAAGTGTGAAAACTGTGTATCATACACAGCTTTGGAAATGACTGTCACATCTGCTCCAGTATCAACAGCAAATTTCAGGCTCTGACCTGACACCTGGACTTCCGTAAACCATGCACTCCTACGTTTCCTGTTGTTGATACTCTCAATAGAGTAACTTTCATCACTGATGCTTCCTAAGAAGTAGTACTCATCTGAGTCAGACTGCACTTCTGCTACCTCTTGTACAGACCCTTTTCCTTTACTACTCCTGCAGACCTTGCCCCAATGTCCTGGGCGTTTGCACTTGTTACATTTACTGTCTTTTGCAGGGCATCTTTCTCTGGGGTGCACCTCCTTTCCACACCACCGGCATGACCGGCTATTCGACGCCTGGGAGCAATTTGATGCACTTCTTTGCTGCCCGTTACTACGTGGTCCCTTGTCACGAGGGCCTCCTTTCCGCCTATGTTGAACTGCCTGCACTTTAGAAGTCTCTCCTTTTATATCCTGAGCCCACCTTCCAGAACATTCTTCTGCTCTACACTCATTTATCGCTTTTTCTAAAGTCAGTTCACCATCTCTCAACAGCCGTGCTCTGACCTTATCACTATTTATACCCAATACGATCTTATCTCTGACAAAATCGTCCTTTAGTTCACCGTAGGCACACGTAGACACGAGAGTGTTAATTTGTGATAAGAAATTATCGAAACTCTCACCTTCTGATTGCGTATACCTGTGAAACTTGTAACGTTCATAAGTAACATTTGTTTTCGGCGTGCAGAACCTCTGGAATTTCTCCAGAATTAATTCCGGATCCAGTTTGTCCTCTGCTGGTACATGTTCCTCCCCTTCGGGGTCACCTACCACTGGAGCCCATGTGAAGCCATTGTAGATTTTCAGCACCTCCTCACCTGCGAGATTTAGCAGTATAGCACTTCTCCTTTCCTTACTGGCAGTAGATAATCCAATGGCGTTCACATATAATTCGTACTGCTGCTTGAACAACTTGAAATTCTCACTTGCATTTCCCGATAGACAAAGAGCTTTCGGTGGTGGAAGATTCGTAGCCATATTTCCGCGTAATTCCTGATCACTGATCGCTAAATATCCGTTCTGGACACAGTTTATATCTTCTTGTTCACTTCTGACACCATGTGGTGTTCGGATGGCACGAGAAACGGAGATATATTCTTTGATTTCAACACAGAACTTTTAATAACTTCTAACATGTGTCGTCACCATTACCGGAAGTGATCATACATCGAATCATGAACGGAAGCGAGGCTGAATTAATGTAAACGTAAATCGAATACAGCACAGTCCCATAGTTGCTTTCTTTCTACTCAATCTGTCACTTTCTGTGGAAAATTTGAAAAGATTGTTCTCTGAAAGCTTAAGATTTGCCTTGACACAGTTCTCAGTTTGAGATGATATGGTTAGAGATGTAATATTGTTTTCATTTTCATGATGGTCATTCAAAGATGATAAAAAAATTAAGAATACTAGGACGGGGATCAATTTTTGTAAGTTTCTTCACAAAGTAAATCTTTTTAAGAGTTATTTCTTTTCTGACTAATCGGATGTGCCCCTCTCCTCTTCATAGAATTTCTTTATCTTGCTTAGTTCTTTGAGGGCAGTTACATGTCTTCTCAGTTCTGCCATGAGTGGAGGTGATACTGGCACTTGATTTTTCAGTAAATTCAATAGCAATTCAGCTACATCACTACCATCTTGAAGCATATCTTCTCATTTGTATCCCATACTCTTTGCATGGGATTGTTGCAATCGCACAATGAGG